TTGTTGGGGTGAACGCTACAGCTGCAAGTGCTCCGGGGCAAATGGGAAATGGGTTAAGAAACCCCTTTCCCACTGCCTCTTTAGATTACATAATTCACTCTGTTTCTCTGGATGTCCTACTTTTAATAACACAAGCTAAAATTTATTGAGGACATCATATGTGCTAGGCACTGTGCTAAGCACTTAGGTTTCATTGAATCACTTAATTCCTACAAGGACCCTGTAAAGCGGGAACTACTATTATTCCTTCACCTCAGAACTCAGGTGCTGAGAAGTTAAGTAACTTTCCTATATAGCTAGAAAGTGACAGACTCATCATGAAGCCTGTGTTTTTTTTATCTCTATGCTCTACTGCATCTTACTGGGCCTTATTATGTCTGTCAGTCATTTCTTTTACCAAAGAGAACACCCTACTTCCTGCCCACTCAGCAAGTAGATAAGTATGTTTGACCAGCTGTCCTTAGCTTGGCACATGTAATGGGTATCAAGTAGTATTTGGAGGATGGATGGAGAGGTAGATGAGTAGGGGGATAGGTAGGGGGGATGGGGGGGTAGATAATGGGCAGACAGTTGGATGAATAAGTTAACGTATGGGTGGATGAATGGATGGTGGGTGGATAGATGAGTGGATGAATAGATACATGGGTAAGTGGATCATGGGTGAAAAGATGAGTGGATGGATGTTGGATGGACGGATGGATGGATGGATGGATGGATGGATGAATGAAAAATTGGACGATAAGTGGAGAGATGGGTGGATGAGTAGATGGGTGGATGAATGGATGATGAGTGAATAGATGGAAGGATGAGTGGATGGATAGATTGATGGGCGGATGGATGGGTAGATGGACTGCCACATGATCAAGGGTCTTTTGTGAAGAAAAACATTTAGGAACACAAGAAGCCCAACTAATCTAGAGCTACATACTCTCTGGCTGATTTGTTGCCTCTTTTCTCCAGATCCTATGATCTATTCTGTTTGCAAGAGGAGGGCTTCCTCTAGGTATCTAGCCCCCACAGAACAAATAGAGCAACTGTGTTCCCTCTAACAGCTGCTTCTGCCTATGTTTATTTTCATAGGTGCTTCACATTAACTTTGGAATTCAAAATGGATTTGCTCAGGGTCGCTTGGTTTTCAGTAAGGCTGGCTGTTCCTTGATTCTGGTGGGATCCTGTGGCCCAAACCTGACTCAGAAGCATTGGCCTGCGGGATGCATTGTTTATGTCTGGAGGTCTGAGGCACCCCTATTGTGCAGAAACAAGGAAATCCACATTTTCCAACACTTCGGCTACACAACAGAGGCTAGGACTGAATATAGTGTGCTCTTTTAACTCCGAAAAAGTTCACAAAAAAGCCAAGCTTGCAGGATGGGGACAAACTCCCTCATCAGGCCTTTTCCCTTCACTTCCAGATTCCTGTCGACCCTCATCTTAACTCCCACACAACTCCCAGACCTCCCCTCTTGTTCCCCTGATTCCAGATGACAAACTCACTCTTGCTAAGGTGTTAGTGATTTACTTCCTTTCTTTACCATTAGAAAAAATTTCTTCAATAAAAGCCATATTAAACTCAAAGCCAGAGTCACTCAAATTGCCCAAGCAGGTCATATCCACTGGGTCTGTCATTCAGGCTATTAGTTTTATGTATTCTTTTTATTAATATTATATTTAAATCAAATTGATCAGAAAATAACTCAAGCCCAAGTTCATTTCCCCTTGACTTTAGTGTTTCTAGAGAGGTTCTTCCTGTCCTCCTCAGACTGAAGGTTTGGGGCACAAACATGCTAACTGCTTTCACCAATCCCGGGACCCTCAGCCCATGTCTCACTGCAAGGTATGCAATTCACCAGAAGTGGCCTGCCCTGTCCCTTATATAAGGCCTATTTGCTCCTTCGGAGTGACAAGATGCTCCAGCCATGAGGCTGGGGCTGCAGTGCTTCTCTGGCAGTGCTCTATCATCGTCCTCAAGTACTAGGTTGGTGAAATGTAATTACAGTGTTTGCCTTTTTTTTTTGAAGGCAAAAACTGCAATTACTTTTGCACCTACCTAATAGTTGTAGTACAGGAAGGTAGAGTTACCTCCACTGGAGAGTTTTCAAGATGTTGACTAAAGCATGCATTTTGACATGGGCATAAAAGAAAGAAAAAATTGCATTTGCCCTCCTTTGGTCTCCCTCTAAGCTTTTTGATAAGCTCTACATGTCCAACTCTAATCCTTTTGTCTGATTGTGAGCTAAGATTACAGGTAAACTCTGTGGACTTTCTGCATGAAAAGTTATATATACAAAAAAGTTCCTTCTCTTGTGCTCTAAATCCTGTTTGCCATTCAAATAACAGTGGGAAATTGTTGTCGTATCTGATCAGCCTATTTAATGTGAAAGCAGATTAAGTCTTTATGCGCCCTGAACCCTGAACAAACCTGCCCATGACAGGTGTGTCCCAGCCCCTGGCAATCGTTCATGTTGGGGCCCCAAACTCCTTTTATTTCTTCAGATGGAGGGAAGGTGTGCTCTTGGCAGGGAGGAAGTAGTCAGTGTGAAACTGGAGAAAGGCATCCAGTCTTCCAAGTGGACACAGTGTCCCCATGCACGGTTAGCAAGCAGGGTGCAGGCTGATTTCAGCCCGCTCGAGCCTCAGGGATAGTGCGTACGGTGCCCCCGGCCCCTAGGGTTACCTGGCTTTGCTATGAGGATCTCTGGCTGCTCTGGAGACAGTTAAAAGTGTTTTAGCTTTTGGAATGCTTGCTACAGATTTGCCCATAACAGACCTAAAAACAGCGAGTGTGACAGCATTGGAGCGATGAGAGTATCTAGAGTTGGCAGGCTGGCCAGGGGCTGCATCACCCCTGCGAGTTCAGAGGCATTTCTCATCAATGCCCACTCAGCAAAAAGATGCTGAATCTCAACCCTGGAACATGGAAAATTTCTCTGAAATTCTCCAGCCCAAACAGCTCTTAGATATGCAAAGCATAATTGACAGAAACTTGAAGCTAGAAGCATCCTTGAAAGGCCACCTATGCCAACCCCCAGGTTTTAGGCAAAAGCATCCTTCAGCTATTCTAGAAAATACTCCTGGCAGCTGACGGAAAGATTGCGGGCTTAAAATTTCCTTTTGAAAATATGACGGATGAACTCTGAGGGCGTCCTGCATCCTTGTCTTTTTATTTTTTAATTTTATTGTGTGATGAAAGAAAAATTCTCTAAAGTCAGACGTCAACAACCCATCCCCACCACTATTCTCCTCCTCCTCTTCTTTGATTGGTTCCCTGGGAGACAAGATAAATGAGCAGCAAGGTTTTTGAAGCCAATGCTCAGGAACAACAACTGTGAGAAAATAAAGGAAGTAGGACTGAGCTGCGGTACAACTGTCATACAGTCGGGGCAGCCTCAGTTCAGCAACCTGCGCGGAAAGTACTTCTCTCTCCCTGCATCAAGGGATCAGTCTCAGGAAAGGACCAGGATTGGAGCAGATTGGGTCCCGTGCCCACTCCCTGGTCCAATCACTGTGGTCAGGGGATGAGTGATAATGATTGGCCAGGCCCAGGTCACATGGCCACAAATGCCAGGAGAACGGAAAATCTTGCTGGAGAGACAAAAACAAAAGGTATCACACACCTCTAAAACTACCTCTCAAAATTGTGAAAAGACTAGTGAAAGTATACATAACTGTTTGGGAGGCCTAGGCGGGCAGATCACCTGAGGTCAGGAGTTCAAGACCAGCCTGGGCAACGTGGTGAAACCCCGTCTCTACAAAAATACAAAAATTAGCCGGGCTTGATGGTGGGTCCCTGTAATCCCTGCTACTCAGGAGGCTGAGGCGGGAGAATCAAATTAAACCCGGGAGGCAGAGGTTGCAGTGAACCAAGATCGCGCCCCTGCACTCCAGTCTGGGCGACAGAGCAAGACTCTGTCTCAATTGAAAAAAAAAAGTATACATAACTGCCTAACAGAGGACATAATAGGACACACCCAATTAATGGTCATTGTTGTTTCCTCCAGCAGCACCATAAGGAGGAATGCAAACAATCTTTCTTCTACAGTCTTGGAGCAAATAGGTGCTGATAAAATCAACATTAGTTCAAGCCTCACTCCCAAAGTTGAACTGAGCCTGAACCTTTCTGAAGAATGAAGAATGTTTAGCAAACATTCCCCTCCAGTGTGCCTAATCTGCATGTATCTTTGTACTTCCCCGGCCAGATGGGCCTGGACCACCAGAAATGTCATAAGGATGTTTATCTCCCTGAAAACTTCGATGGTCCAAAAGTATTTCCGAAGAAAGACAGTCCCCAGTGTTTTTCTGACCTCTTCACAGAGCCAGAGCCAGGACATTTGGATAACGTGGGGAAAATTCCTGTGTCTGAACTGAATATCAGCATCCTGCAATGTCTTGTTGCCAAAAATGGGTCATGTATGTCCTTCCCCTCCTCAAAACTATAAACTTCTCCAGAACCTCCTGAAGAATTAAGGACAGAGAGTTCTGGGCCCTCAGTGACAAGCCCACCACCCCTACTCCCCTGCTCCAATGCTATGCTGTGGCCAATCGGATGTCCCGAAATTCCCCAAACTCCAGGGTCACCTGCCCTCTGCCTCCTTATCATGCTCACTGTTCCCTCTATGAGAACATGATCTTCCCATCTACAGCTCCGCTAACCCAACCCTCAAAATCCCACTAATTTTCAAGCCCCACCTCAAAGCCTTTCCTACCCTTTCAACCAACTATGGTCTCGACTACCTTTAGTCTCCTTATGGAATATATATTTTGCCTTATGCTATGTTAACTTGAATGATGATCTTCATAATTTATTTAAAGAACATTTATCAAGAACCTAATATGTATCTGTACTAGGCACTGGTGAGGAGATGCATGAGATAAAACGAACTAGCCAGTCTGGGGCTCTTAGCAACCCAGGTGCAATGTATTTCAACTGATGAATTTCCAGCATTTTAAAATTCATTTGCTTGTACAACCTAGCTCATGCATTAGGTAATTCAGTCACTAACCTGCTCTGAGTTTTGGTGTCCCTCGATGACAAAATGAGAGCTTCAGGCTACATGATCACTGAAGATCTCTTCCCACGCAGCAGTAAATCTCTCATGTTCTGTCATTGCCTTGTCAGCACTTCGTCACTTTGTTCCTCTTTTATCATCCAGCAATACAAGGTGTCCCTCTGAGCTTCAGAAAATTGGGAGCAGAAGTTTGGAATTAATACATAATAGCATATCTATGTTTGCTGAACATAAACAGTGTGGTGGTCAAGTTGGTGAAAAGCCATAACCTCTTATCTGGCCCACAATCTCTTCATCTGTAAAACGGGACAGTGGGAGTAAAGGTCACCAAGGCCCCTTCCAGCTCTGATACTCCGTGATTCATAATCATCCCCTTTTCCTCCCATAAGAGCACATCATGTTCTGCAAGGAGATGGCAGCCAAACCACCTGGAAGAGGGAAGCAAACACTCATCCACCCCGAGCCTCACCCCAGGGAGACCAGTTGAGTTTGAAGAAAAGGCTGCAGTGGAATCCAGAAGGCTTGGGTTTTAGCTGCTGGCCCCCTGCATAAATTTGCTGTGGGAACCATTTGAACAACTTTAATCTTTGGTAAGAGCAACAGCCAACATTACTTGATTAAATAACTCACGCTCTTTAACTCATCTCCCAGCTCCCTTTTCCCAGGTTTGGTGCCTGCAGGGTCCTGACCATAGTTCTATGGGCAGAATGAACTGCATGGTCTGCAGCACCATGTTGAAGACTCCAGTTTCAATCAAAGAACTTGTTGGCCAGTTACCTGTCATTCAAATAACTTGCTGGAAGATGAAAACTGTAGTCAACTGACACTGTTTCGAGCAGAGAAGAAGCTTTTTAAATGGATCTCCTTTTAACCTACTATATTCTGTCTTTGTCCATTCTTGCAGCTGTAGCAAAATACCTTAGACTGTGTGATTTATAAATAATAGAAATTTATTTCCCATAGTCTGAAGGCTGGGAAGCTCAAAACCATGGTGCCAGCAGATTTGGTGTTTGGTGAGATATTCTCTGCTTCCAGGGCGGCTCCTTGTTGCTGTGTCTTCACATGGCAGAGGCAGAAAACGGGTGGACTCTCTCCCTCAAGCTCTTTTATAAGGGTTCTACTCCCACCTGTGAGCACTCTACCAAAGGTGCCACTTTGTAATACTATCTTAATTCGGGGGGCTAAGTTCTAACACATACATTTTGGAGGGACATATACATTCAAACCATAGTACTTTTCATCTTCCTGTAAAATGTGCTGGCCAGTGCCTCTCAGCATGAAGCCCACATCCCATGCTTTAGCTCCCACCAGCTGAGCTGTATGAGCTATATGCTTACCAGGGGGCAGCTGCACTTGTCCCCAAGCCTGTTTATGGCAACAGTCCTTTAATTGTAACCATGTAATTTACTAGAGTATCAAATAAACCAATGAAATATAAGTGCAAAAAGAGATCTGTTGGTTATATAAAAAGAAAACTAAATTAAGGGGCAAACAAAGGTAAATTTCTAAAAATATTTGCAGTCAGTTTTGATGTTTGAAGTAAGTGGTGGTGTTTGATGAAAAATAGTAAAAAATGTAGAAAGATTCTACACTCAGTCCTATAGTGTCTATATCTTATTTCCCTTTGAAGAAGCTAAAACTAAAAATTATAAATAAGAGAGTGTAACTGTAGTTTATATAACAAAAACAAAACACAAATGCCAATCAGAAGGACCCATACTGAGAGAAAAAAAGTCTTAACATCAAAACATTGACTAATCTTTTTTTCTTTTTCTTGAGATGGAGTCTCACTCTGTCATCCAGGCTGGAGTGCAGTGGTGTGATCTCAGCTCACTGCAACCTCTGTCTACTGGGTTCAAGTGATTCTTCTGCCTCAGCCTCCCCAGTAGCTGGGATTATGGGCATGTACCACCATGCCCAGCTAATTTTTTTGTATTTTTAGTAGAGATGTGGTTTCACCATGTTGGCCAGACTGGTCTCAAACTCCTGACCTCAAATGATCCGCCTGCCTTGGCTTCCCAAAGTGCTTCAGTTACAGGCATGAGTCACTGTGCCTGGCCCTGAACAATCTTTTAAGTTAAAATACAATATATAAGATATGTTTGAATCAGTTTCGTTACTTTTTAAGTACAAACCAAAAAATATTTTAGCTGAACGTAAATGAATGACATTCTGTAGTCTGGGACCCAGATATTTTATAGTTTTTCAACTTACATTAATATTTTAGGATTGTCTCCATAGTTATTATTATTATGACAAATTTCAAGCATATATGAGAGAGAAAAGTAGAGTGAACCTCCATATCCCATTGTTCAAACTGTACCATCTATGCTTCATCTTTTTCTTTTGCTGATGTAGTTTAAAACAAATTTCAGACATGTCATTTTATTCCTACTTCAGGGATATCAGTAGATATCTCTTAAAAATATGGAGATTTTCTTATATAATTGCAACACCATGATACCTAACATAATTAGTGACAGTTCTTTAGTGTCACCTAATACTTTTGCCTTTTCTTAGATTGCCCCCAAAATGTCTTTTCACTGTCAGTTTGCTCAAATCATGATATAACTACAATGTACACATTACATTAGGTTGTGTCTCTAATGCCTTTTAAAATTTAGAACAGTACTCCCTTTTTATGCTACTAATTTGTTGAAAAATCCCTTTTATAAATAGAGATGTGAAAATTTCAAGAATTCAGAGAATTTCAAAGGATAGCAATTGACAAGGTCTTATTGCTGAGAAATCTCAAACAATGCCAAAACAGACTCCAGATTTCTCAGGGTACTTGGGGAGCTAATGTTGTCATGGCCCAGGGAAGAGTTTCCACCTCTTTCAGACTGACAAAATGAACAAAGAACTGGAGCCTGGGTTGAAAGATGAAAGGTTTAAAGTTCTGAAAAGCAAAGATTCAAGCTGTCAAGGAAATGCAAATCGAAAACAATGAGATACTACATCACACCCACTAGGATGACTGTAATCGGAAAAAGATAATAAACAAGCATTATTGAGGCTGTGAAGAAATTGGAACCCCCATACTTTGCTACTGGGAACATATTTTGAAAAACAGGCTGGCAGTTCCTCAGATATTAAACATAGGGTGAGCAATGACCCTGAAATTCCAACCCTAGATATACACTCAAGAGAAATGAAAACATATGTCCTCACAAAAACTTGTATGTGAATGTTCATAGAAAATTATTTATAATAGCCAAAAAGTCAACACAATCCAAATGACCATGATGAATGGATAAATTGACTGGTAGAACCACACATTGGAACATTATTCAGTCATAAAAAGGAATGAAGAACTGCTATGTGCTACAATGTGGGTAAAGCTGGAAGATATTAGGCTAAGTAAAAGAAGCCAGCCTTCTGAAGGACACATATTGTATGATTCCATTTATGTGAAATATTCATAATTGATAAGTGCAGAGACAGAAAGTAGATTAGTGATTGCCTAGGGCTGGGGAATTGGGAGGATTGGGGGAAGGATGACTAAGGAAATTCTTTTTGGAGTGATGAAAATGTTTGGAATTAGTAGTGGTAGTTGCACAATTCTGTGAATATACTAAAAGCCATTGAATGTACACTTCAAATGGGTGTATTATATGGCATATGAATTATATCTTCATAAAGCTGTTAAAGTGCGCGAGCACGCACACATACACACACACACACACGCACCAGGTTTAGGGGTCCTTTATTAGCCAGTCTTGAGTGTAGAAGGGCCCTGCCCAGCAGGGGTTCATCTCCGAAGAGGATGGAAGGGAGCCTGCTTGGTAGCTGTTGGAAAGAGTGACTCAACGCCAGTGGGGGTCACCAAGGAAGAGCACGTGGTCACCCTCCCGGGTCCCTACAGTGTTCTGGAGTGGGTTGTTCTGGGTTCGAAACCAGATGGCCTCTTGACCCTGATTTCAGTAATGCCATGAAAGGAAACCCAAGGGGAACATGAAGGAGAACTGATTCTCATTTTCATTACTGGCTGCCTCGCTTCTTCTCAGGCCTGCGCTCACCCTTATTTTCCTGCCTGCCTTCCTGGAGGGCAGTGAGACGCAGGCCCAGATCCTTCACACAGGGGAGCAGGAAGAGAGGGAGGAAGAGGCTGCCCTTCAGCATTGCCACCACGGCAGCCTTCTGCTCCCGAGAAAGTGGAAATGCCCAGGTATGACATGAAAGCAGGTTTTCCCAGGCAGCCAGGGGAAGCTAAGATCCCACATCCCCGTGGCTTCAGGTGGGGTGTGCTGTGGTGGGTGGGCTGTCAGGCACCATCCAGGCCTGAGGTCACAGAAGAGGAACAGTGGGATGGCAGTGCAGAAGTTTCCTTGCCTGATTTTGCAAGTCTTATTCAGGCTGTTCAAGCTGCTGATCTTATCAGAAATGGGGTATCTGCCTGGCCCACACATTTCCAATTATCCCTCTGGCCACAGGATCCTGTGCCCATTTGGCAAAGGAATGGGTCTCAGAAGAAGCATGTGGTCTCATGGAAATTACAGAGCTCAACTGGATCTGCCGAAAGGGCTCTGGGCCGGCTGTTAAAATGAAAAGATTCCATTTGTGGAAGGGCAGCGGTGGGTGGGCCAAATTCCCATGAGGTTTGAAGATGCTCCTGGGCATCAGCCGGCCTTCCAGCCCCTTCCCTTCTCATTCCCACTGCTTCCAGCTGCTGGTCCCACTCAGAGGAAAAGTGGCCACAGGCCACAGCCCTTCCTGGTAGCTCCAAGGGAATAGGTAAATAAACAGAAATAAGACAAACATAAATAAGAGTGTAACTTACAAAGCATCTGTTCCCAAGGAGAAGAATCCAGAGAAAACACAAAAAGTTGTCTAGAAGCCCCAGCCTAGATGCTAAAGAAGTGTTGTCTTCAACACTATAGAAACTGATACTCCACGCCCTCGTTCTTTCTGCTTCCAGTCCTGTGACCCCAGGAACCATCCTCTTTCCCTAGGACTACAGCATCTCTCCTCTATCCCCTCCAACCTGCCCTCTTCCTATTCCACCCAGCACACCTGCAAGCAGGAGTGAGAATCGTTGCTATGTGGAGTGGGCAAGTCTTTTGACCACTGTCCTTCCCATTTACGTCATGTCTGTCCTAGGAGTAATAAGAGTACTCACCTCACTGGGTGTGCTGCAGGTTAAATGAGAAAATGTATGCACCCAGC